TTAATTTAAATAATTCATTCTTATTATTACCTAATAAATAAGATGCAAAATTAGTATATTCTTTTGTAAATAAAATTGAATCATTAAATAAATGAATTTTAGATTCTTGATAATTTTCATTTAAATTTAATAAATTATTTAATAAATTTGTATTATTATTATTTAAATTATTATTTAATAAATTATTTGTATTATTATTTAAATCATTATAAATAAATAAATAAATATTAAAAGAATTTAAAAAACGTCTAGTAGATATAACTAATTTATCAATATTATATCTATAAGCAATATCAATTAAATTTTTTAAATTTGCAATATCTTTCATTTTTCTATTAATTTCATGTGCTTGTTGTTGTATTTTTTGACATGTTAAATTTAACATTTCATAATCTGAATGATTTTCATTGGTTTCTTTTAAAATAGCCTTACTTAATAAACAATATTTTACAATACGTTGACATGGCATTATTAATAAACTTGTTAAATCTAAACCATCTGTACCTTTAACATTTTTACTTGAATCTTGAATAACTTGTTTAAATTTTGGATATTCTTGATAGGCTTGTGGTAAATTTGTATGAACTGTTCTTGAATAATGTGATTGATAATCTATATATATTTTAAAAAATGGTATATATTTATAAATTATATTTCCAATATTATATAAATATAATTCTTTTTTTATAATTTCAGATTGTTCTATTGTTAAATTTATATTATTTAAATTATTTATATTTAAATTATTTAATATATTATTTATATATTTAATTAAATCTTTATAAAACATTTGTGAACATTTTAATATATTTTCCAAATCAGGTGGAAATATTTTTTTAACAAGTACTTGTCCATTTATATTTTTAATTTCACATTCATTAAATTTTAATTGTCCTTGTTGTTCTATATTTGTATAATTGGTTATTGGTAATACAAATTCATTAAATAATACTTCTAAATATTTCTTATATTTATATTCTGATTCTATTATTTCTAATAATGTATATATACGTTTATCTATTATTTTAGATGAATTATCTTTTTTATTACTATTAGAAGTATTAGTAGTAGTAGATGTATTTGTAGTAGTAGATGTATTATTTGTATTATTAGTAGTAGTAGATGTATCCTTTTTAGGTGGTGGTGATGATGTAGTATTTAATGTTGGTGGTGGTGTATTATTATTTGTATTATTATTATTTGTATTATTACTTGGTGGTGGTGCAGTAATAATTTTACTATTTTTATCATCCTTACTATTATTATCATCAATATTATTATTATTTATATTAGTATTATTATTATTATATTCATCAATTTGTAAATTTGTATTATTTTTCATTAATTCAATAATAATTTTCATTGCAGAATCAATATAATTATTTGATGAAATGTTTAATTTTTTTAAATTTTTTAAATTTGTTAAATCATCAGGTAATTTTGATAATAAATTGTGTGAAATGTCTAAAATTTTTAAATTTTGTAATTTTGCAATATCAGGTTGTAATGCAATTAAACTATTATTATTTAAATATAATTCTTCTAAATTAATACATTGTAATATATTTTGTGGTAATATTTCTAATTTATTAAAACTTAAATCAATAATTTTTAAATTTTTTAATTTATGAAAATCATTAAATAAAGAAGTAAAATTATTTTTTTTTAAAATTAAAATTTCTAAATTAATAAAAACATTTGTAAATTCATAATGAATTGATGATATTTTGTTATTGATAAATCAA